AAATAAAAAAATCAATAAAAATACAAAAATCAATTTCACATTACTTTAAAAAAGGTAAACAGTACAAACTAAAACTAAGGCATAAATCAAAATAATAGTGATAAAAATAATAATAATAATACCTAATCATTGCATTTATGTCGTGCAACTTAACTTTCAAGTTTCAGCCTGACTAAAGCTCAAGCATGACATAAGCCTTTACGGTCTTCTTGGAAGGCTTTGTGGCTTTTGTGAGAGGCAAAATTCAGTGGAGAGGAAGGTAACCTGGAACAAGAACAAGAGTCCATACACAATTTTTAAACACATTTTTCTGCAACATGAAATTAGAGTTATTTGGAGAATAAACCCTCTTAAATGTCCATATACGTGTGTGTGTGTAAAACTTGTTTTTGATATTCTTCATATGCTGGTCAGTTCACAGCAGTGATAGAAATTAATCTGTTCCAATAAGTTTAAAATGAGTTTGACATTTTATGGCCATTTTTACCTTTATAAAGCCTCCGCCAGTAGGTGGCAGCAAGTCACTGTTAAGAAGTGAGTCATTGCGATTGAACTGAATCATTTAAACGTTTGATTCATTCAGGAACGAAACACCATCATGTTGCACAGAGACGCAAAACAGCGCTGTGGCTGTATTTGGAATTTTTTGTTGGCAAAATAATGCAAAAACAGGCAATATAGTGTCTAAAACGTAAGTCTCATAATATTGTGATATTGACTAACTTTCTTTCTGTGGTATTTTTATGCACAATGGCGTTTAGTCTTTCACAAAACATAGCTAACATAGGGACATCATAACTAGCCACCATATTGATTTACGGTCTTAAATATGTCCAGCGTTTTTTTTTTTGTTTTTTTTTGAAAGTCTGGTCCCTGTTTTTATACAGTCTATGGTCTGGCCCAGCGTTTATCGGGTTGTGCGTCAGTAATAATGGTCCGTGTGTAGTTACAGTAAATGGACTAAACGAAGATGATTTTTTGTATTCGAGTTACTCGAGGTATTCGAGGAATCGTTTCAGCCCTAAACCAAACCCTAACACTAAACCTATAGTAATTATGTTGTAAATTAATATTGCTCAATACTAAATTACACTGCAATGAGGAAACATAGCATATTCAAAAGTGTGACCAATTTTTTTGTTTTGTTTTACAGCTTTGCAACGAAGACTAAAACATATTTTCCATTTCAACATATTTTTAAAGAAAAAAAGATGCTGCAAAAGGTGCTGTAAAAAAATAATGAAATTATAATAAATCGCCAGGAGTAGTCCTTTAAAAGACTTATAAATAGACTTAGTCTTAAAAATACTTATCACAGTGGGGTCCTGAGTTTAAATTTAGCCTGGGTCATGGTCTGACCCTATATTGCCTCTCTTACTCCATCCACTTTCCTGTCAGTTTTCCACTGTCCTACAAAATAAAAACAAACTGGCAATAAATAAAATAAAAGAATGTTTTTGTCTTCGAAGGTGTTTGCATTCTGCCTAGGTAGCCATTCATCTGAGAACAACAATACAATAAACAAAGCATGTGAACAAAGATATCCATTACAATTCACTTCACACACACGGCCACGTCATGGCCTATAGTGTGTTCTCACAATAGACGTGTGTAGAGGGAGTGTCACTGATGTATCACCTATCCCAGGGCATCTGCGGCCTGTTCGGATCAAGTGCTATTTTGAAACATGATCATTCAAGAAGACACAGAAGGTTATTGAGAGCTGAATGTTTCACTTTGGCTCACTTCCTTACAAGCTCTGCCTTAAATGTAATGTTTTGTGAACGCAAACTATAAATTATGGTTTGAAAAGTCAGACAGATGTGGTTGGGTTTGGGAAGAGAGGAGTCAACATGGTTCCCTTTGCTTAAAAGGCAAACACATCTTATTTGACGTCTTACAAGTTTAGTCAGCAATACACTCACTACACGCAGCAGAGCTGACATGATGAGTTTTCAATTGGACATTTTGAGAAAAAATCTATTTTGGTATTCTAGGACAAAAGACCATTCCAGACTTCAAAATGGGCCACTGTCAACCACAAAATGTGGCACAGACTCAATAAACGGCACTTTGTGTGCGCATGCTTGTGTTAGTGCACATTTTAGAGTTTATATATCAGGAGCTGCTGGCCTAGAACTGTCATCCTGTTTCTCAATGTTTTCTTTTATGCCCCCCCCCCTCCCTTTAAGGTTTACTAAATATACACCCCATGGAATAATAAATGGAAACAGCACTTTCCAATTCAAAGGGTCTGAGAACGAGCACCTGAACATCTAGACACAATTCTAAAAAAAAAAAAATTATTATTCCACATCCTCCCAGATCGTCTGTTTAATATACATTCAGTAGTCACTAGATTCCAGATATGAGGGGTCCATCCTCAGTGGTGTTATACTGTGATTGGACAACTGATCAAACAGTAAAGTCAAATATTTGACAGTTTAACAGGACAGACTCTGTTTGCCGTGTTTTTGCGTCTGTCAAAATCTTGTATAAAGTGTTCCCTGTAATATTACACCTTCCAATGGCGAATTAAATAGCCATGTCAGTGTGACGCACCATACAGTCAATGTTGTCATGCTGTTTCTTTGTCTGACTCTATTACTTTACCCAAAACTACCTTTAAAGTGCCCCTATTATGCCATTTTTAAGGTTCCTATTCCTAATATTGTTTTTGGAGTCTCCTACAACAGGTTTGCATGCATGCAAGGTCAAAAAACACTTTAGTTTTCTCATAATTTGCATTTAATTTCACCACATTTCTCAATGATATGTAAAGGATTCGGACAAAGCAGTTCTAAGATTCAGTCTCTCTAAAACCCTTCTTTCTGTAAGCCTACTCTGCTCTGATTGGTCAGATGGCCCAGTCCTTTGTTATTGGTCTACCGCGTAGTCTGTGTCAGAAACTAAACGCCCATTGCCATAAATGAATGACAGCTCCGGAGAGAATGTATCGAGAGAAAAGATGGTACAGATTTTACCTTATAAATTCGAGCTCGAGTCCGATGATGAAACGCGTAATTGATCAATCAGACACTGATTCACAAACACGACTGGAGCAGGATGTTTCTCAGTGGTAAGAGTCAACTCAGTTTGGGGTAGTTATAAGACGTGATTGCAGCGTCATTGTTATAATTTATTTAGGTGCACGTGTGGGAACTGTATCAGAATGCCAAGCAAAGTTGAAAATCTCTGCTGCCACAAAGTACGACAGGTAGTATTATATGTTTCTGCATTAGTTGAGCATTAGACGCCTCTTTTATAAAGAAAATGAAAATTCTGTCATTATTTACTCACCCTCATGTCATTCCAAACCCGTAAGACCTCCGTTCATCTTCGGAACACAAATTAAGATATTTTTGATGGAATCTGAGAGCTCTCTGACCCTCCCATAGACAGCAAGGGTCCTTAAACGATCAAGGTCCAGAAACGTAGCAAGGACATCGGTAAAATATTTCATGTGACATCAGGGGTTCAACCATAATTTTACAAAGCTACGAGAATACTTTTTGAGCGCAAAAGAAAACGAATTGTTGAATAAAGTCTTTTTTTTTTTCTTTTGCGCACAAAAAGTATTCTCGTAGCTTTAGAAAATTATGGGTGAACTATCCCTTTAAGTGTATTTTGAATGATCGATAGAAAATATAATCATCTATTATTTATCATACTTACATGTTGTGATTCAGTGGAGCAATCTGGTTTAAATAAACTGGGCACTGATCCATCTTTCAAGAGCGAGTGTTTTGTGAATCCCGCGTTGAACTCCTCGCGATTAGAGAAGCAGTCCTCAGTAAAATGACGGGAACACAAAAAGATTGGGATTGAACTGCTGTGGTATCGTTGAAAAAATGAATGTCACCCACTGATTCTTTGCAGCCTCACCATTCAGAAGTGAAAATAAAACCAATTTACTTTCACAGCGTAGGACACAGCGTCTTCTCAACATGATGTTTACCACACAGAAATGCTACACTGTTTCAGGGTGGGCTAAGTTGTTTGCGGCCGTCCAACGTATGCAAATGTTTTACCCACTGAAGTGGGATTCGAATTCCTGACGACTCATTTAGGTGATTCAGAGTCTTTTTTATTTTTTTGAGAGACAATAACTTTATTTACCTTTGCAGACTATTTACTATATAACTTTGCAGATAGTTTACATTCACATACAGCTACATTACACATAAAAGGCAATATTCGAAATGGCATAATAGGGGCACTTTAAATTTCAATTAATGCATACAAAGGCTTAAATACACCTCTTCTATGATGAGCATGTTTACATTTTTTTATTTTTTTTTATTTTGGGGGCATAAAGTAAAACAAATGTCAGGGTGATAAAACTGTCATTATATCCAAATAAATAAATAAAAATACTCCTTAAAATTGTTATTTACTGAAAAAACATTATTATTTAGAGAAAAATCAGTAATACAGTTTTGTTAAGCTATTATTAATATTTAAAAACAACTCAAAGTCACTTTGTGACCAAAAAAAGTCATGTGGTGCAACCAACATGCAGAAAAAAAGGATATCATATAGAGAGGACCTCAAGTCTGTGTGTCAAGGTCGATAAGTCTTCTAAAAGATCAAACAAGTTGATCTTTGATCTAAATTAGTTCAGGTTGTAAAATGTGTGATTAATTTAATTAATGAATAATTCCTGATATTTGTTAAATGTATATCTTATAATATACTGTATATACTTCAAAATATTTACAAATCATACTTCAAAATATTTACAAATCACAAAAAATTTGATGCGTAATGAAGTTAAATATGTTATGTGTAATCTTTTTACTTGATGGTTAAACCACATGACATTCTGTAATGACAGTCCTTCAATCAAAATATTTCTTTAAAATGTCCTAAATGTTTTTTTCAAATCCATATGAATTCAACATTAATATAAAGAAAAATTCCAAGAACTTGGCAATTTGTTTTAAACCTGATTTTTAAAAGACTGTCATTTTCCTTACCTTAGACCAGGGGTAGGCAAGTTCAGTCCTAGAGAGCCGCAGTCCTGCAGAGTTCAGCTCCAACCCTAATCAAACACCCCTGAACAAGCTAATCAATGTCTTCGGGATTACTAAGGCTATAGGCAGGTGAGTTTTTTTTTCAGGGTTGGAGCTGACCTCTGCAGGACAGCGGCTCTCTAGGACCGAACTTGCCTACCCCTGCCTTAGACCCTTATTTTGTATTGACCCACAAGTAAAAAAGGAAATAAGTGGTGGTCTTTCCTACTGGACAATTAAATGTGATGAGGAATCCTGTGCGATTTGCACAAACTGCATCTTCTCACATGAAGCCACACCCTAATGAGATGTCAAGAATGAAAAGGAAAGTTGAATTTTCCAGCCGGAATTCCAAGGTCTCTTTTCACCATAGTGGCTCACTTGGAAATAATGGAAATGCTATAAACTCCATGACGTCCAGGTGTAATGCACCATTTCCGGGCACATTCATTGGTTTCCAAACATAGTCTTGCCATGATCTGGCAAACATCACAGAAATAGCTTGAGAATTAGCATGTGAGAGAACATGCAGATGTGGATTCTTATTAAGAAATAAAGAAGATAATGGAACTTGATAATAGAAATGCTATAAACTCCATGACGTCCAGGTGCAATGCACCATTTCCGGGCACATTCATGAGTTTCCAAACGTAGTCTTCCCATGATCTGGCAAACGTCACAGAACTAGCTTGAGAATTAGCATGCATGTTAACATGCAGACAAGGATTCTTTTTAAGAGTTAAGAGTTCTTATTGAAAGAAAGAAAGAAAGAAAGAAAGAAAGAAAGAAAGAAAGAAAGAAAGAAAGAAAGAAAGAAAGAAAGAAAGAAAGAAAGAAAGAAAGAAAGAAAGAAAGAAAGAAAGAAAGAAAGAAAGAAAGAAAGAAAGAAAGAAATAAAGAAAGAAAGAAAGAAAGAAAGAAAGAAAGAAAGAAAGAAAGACATTTTGTCACAGGTAATCAGAGTGTATAGATCTAAACAGATTCTGGCTATTTCAAGCTCAACCACTGTCACTGCAATCAGCATACAATCAAACTGTCAGAGCTGCCACACGACTGTGAATGACAAAGAAACTCGAAGAACATGACACTTCTGTCACATAGCTCTTTCCTTTACAGCAGTCGTATGGAGAAACATTCAAAAACTTCAGTATGCTTGAAGAAAACCCTCATTGTTTTCTGCCAAAGAGAAAGAGTCACTCCAGCAAATGAGGCACTGACTTCTTCGCCAGTTTTAGGTAACTGCTCAACAGTTTATCAAAGCAGGAGGCCCGTCTTTTTCCAGCGAACTCATTTGACTTTCTCTGCAGCTCTTGAAACTCCAACTGCTTCAGCAGATGTGATTCTGGGAAAGCCAATCACCGGTGAGAGGCATCGAGACCCAGAAACAACCAGCCCTCACATGCTGATGGCCCCTTATAGTAACAGACTTTTTTTTTTTTTAACAAACGCCCTCCCGGGAACTCAATATGGAGCCATGAGTGGGCTCTGGTAACTCATCTTGAAAGAGCGTTCAGAACGAATGATGAAAACTTAGTAGAGGTGGAGGAGGAAGTATGCAGGTATTAAAGGCAGGAAATTAATACCGTGCATTAGGTTTTGCTGAGAGAAATCACAGCCGGCCGCCTGCAAAACCAATCACGGGGTCATGCAAAGCGTGTGCAAACAGTGTGGGAGCTCAATGACAGATGAGGACAATGAGACAGCAAATCAAGATGGCGAAGAAATCGTGAGGTTTCAAGGTGTTTTGCATTTCATTACCTCACTTTATATATTATATATTGTGTAAACAATGATGTTGACATCGAAGAAATGTAAACAATATTGAAACAAAAACTTGTGGTGTCAAGCATGTTTATTCAGTGGGTGGAGACTTGTGTCAATGGGATTTGCAAAGAGAATCATTTGTAGGCAGCAAGCAAAGCTCTTGCAAATAAATCAAGAAAGCACAATTGTCACACATAAGAGATTAAGATTGTAATTTCCATTTGCCAATTATTATACATCTCTGCATAAATATAAATCTGTTTGTTGGATCAAAATTGACCTTAATCCAAATCAACTTTGTGTCACCATAACTAAAATAATCACGCTACATCTTTACTTCATATGGAAAGTAGCACATTAGCTACTTACTTATATGTAAGAAAGTCCTGTTTTCTAACAGTCACTTGGCTGAGAGTGAGTGCTCAATTCATGTGCTAAGTTAAAATTATGCTTTTTCTTGTTCTTTTCTGTCAAAATGATGGAAAGCATTTTGAATTAGTCAAAGCTCAGGCAAATGGTGGAAAGTTTCCAGTTAACTCAACCTCTGGTATCACAAGCACCATGCTCTACCTGTTGAACTACAGAAAAGCTGTAGGCTCAAAGCATTTTTATTTGGTGAGAAGTTGTTACTTAGCCCCCAGAGAATTTGAGACTGAAAGAGAGAAAAAAGCGAGCTGTCATCGCTATTAAAGCTGCATGACACTAGCAAACCAGTGCCAAACACTGTTCCCATGTCAATTAACTGACCAAGATGTTCCAGTCAATCCAACTGCACATGTTATTTACATTTATTCTTATCTGGCAGAAGATGCTATTAAATGATGCCTGACAGTTTAACGTAACAGACCTTCATCTTGGAAGGTCCTGAGGCGGAGGAGGAAGGTAATGGGAAAGCAGAGCAGTATCATATATCAAATTGAATTCACAATTAGGGGAAAATACATGGTTGATGTATTTCCCAAGATCACTGGCTAAACAGTCCATAATCCCAGTGGAGAACACTGATGGTCTCCAACCATTACTGACAGAAGAACTAACAATGATGGCTTTTTGAAGGAGGATATGTGACTGCAAATGAGGACAATTGGATTATGGTGCACTTTTTATCTGCTGTATGCCAAATCAAAAAGACTATTTATCATAAAAAGTTGAATTGGCAGACCTGAGGAACATGGATTGATGTACAATCTTTGTTTTGAAAATTAGGTGAGCCTATACTTATGAAAATGGTCTGTCTTTGTTCAATCTTATAAGGTATCGGTGTTGGCAAGGATATCAGGGTGTTTTCAAGAGAAAATCTGAATGGTATGATACCTGGGGCTGAAACAAATCAGAATTATTTTAAGTAAATGAGATAGCTGTGATGAACAAAATTCCCAAATGAAGAGTTAAACCTGGATAAAGAAATTAATTAAATGATTTTGATCTCCCTCATATTGTTCCAAACCAGTATGACTTTTTTTGTCCATACAATGGAAATCAGCAGGATCCAACATTTGACCCCACTAGCTGACTTTCATTATATGGCCAAAATAATTCTTCAGAATATATCACATCAAAATATATCTTCTGTTGTGTTCTACAGACAAAAGAAAGTCATATAGATATGGTACAACATGAGGCTAAGTAAATGATACAGAACAATTTAAACAATTAAGACAACCTACTCTAGCCTTTGAATTGTAGAAGATAATGATAATATTGGCTATAACAAGATGATATGACATATAATATGAATACTGGGTCTATCAAGCTTACACAAAAAAAAACTTTTTATTTCAAGTCTTCTGAAACACACAATAGTTAAAAAAGTAGTTTTGTGTGATGAATCGAGTTGATTCATTCAAAAACCAATCTAAATGATTCATTCATGACTCAAGAGTTCAACCTCTCACTGGAGGGAAGATTATTAGTGAATAATCACTTAAATTTCAGTCTGTTCCTTACAAAACTATCATATGGATTAAAAAGACCTGCAATATAGCACGCAGGTCATATGGACTTATTTTCTGATATTTTTATGATGCTTTTGCATCCTGTTGAATTTTGAAAGCTCCAGTTCCCCATTAATTTTTATAAGTGAATGTAAAGAACGCCCAGTGCAATTGTTTTAAAGTCCTCCTTTTGAGATCCACAAAAGAGAGTAAGTCATATGGGTTTGGAACAACATGCGTATGAGTAGGTGATTCATTTTCGTGTGTTTAATATCCCTTTAAAAGGAAATTCTTGAAGATCATGCTCTTATTCACTGTTAACTCACGGAAGTTCCTAAGCATGTCTTACACGGCATGCCATCGACTCGATAAGGAATGGTACAGCACGTGATGACTGTTTTGTTTAGCAGTTTTGAAATATTTGGGAGATCTGTCTTTTGGCTCACAAACACAAGCAAGTTGCAAATGATTAGATGAAGCCTGACTCAAGCTCCTCTGGACTGTTAAACACTGGACTGGTCTTGCTCCTCTGGACTCATCTCAAAACATTTTACAGAGGAAATACAAGGTTAACCTCACGAGACTGTGGCTCGGCAATTTACTCTCTAAAAAGCATTAGACATTTCTAGACCTACTGTACACAAATATGCCGACAAACCCCATTCCAACACCTTTACTACTTAACAGTCAAAGCCCCAGACTGAGAAAACAACTAAAGCTCATCTGAAACGTTTTTGAGTCACCTCTGAGCCATCCGGATGAGAGTTATAAGTGTCTAGGAGACCCGAACACAACTCTCTCAGACGGACTAGATTAAATCCCCCTGCCTATAAACAAAACAAATTTAAACATACAATGAAAACAAATTATGTGGGACTTTTCTCATTTGAAGTCCAATAAAACTGGAATAACACACAAGAAACTTGAGTTTAAAGAATATGATCTTATCCATAGAACAAGCTTTGATTTACAGCCCATCCCTTTATCAGAAGAAAGGAGACGTTTTGTCTGTTCTACTCTGGTGATGTCTGCTTTGAAACTACTTTTATTTAGATGGCAAAGTAAAATAAAAATATACACTACAAAATTTCAGAATAACTGTTTTTGAAAGAATCTTCACAAAGGCCCCATTTATTTGATCAAAAATACAGTAAAAAATATTGTGAAATATTATTGTAGTGTACTCTATTGTAAATATTAAGCAGCAAAAACTGTTTTCAACATTAATGATGATAATAATAATAATAATAATAATAACAACAACAAAATGTTTAATGCGCACCAAATCAGCATATTAGAATGATTACTGAAGGATGATGTGACACTGAAGACTTGAGTAATGGCTGATGGAAAATCTGTTTTGCCATCACAGGAATAAATTATTTTAAAATATATTAAAAAAGAAAATAGTTGTGTGTAAATAGTAAAGTGTAATAAGGGAAAAACCCTTAAGATAACATGTAGAAAGAAAAAAACGCATCTTAAGCACGCAGAATAACATAAGTGGACTTTGAACGATTAATTGCCACTCTGAACGATTACGTAATTGTCGCATCCATAATTGTAATTGCGATTAGAAATTTGATTAATTGTGCAGCCCTACTGTACCCAAAAGAGTGTTTAACAGTTTCCAGCATCCATACCCACATATGGCTCTCACTGCACTGGAGATTTAGGTGACCGCCTGAGAGACATTGTTCTAGGTCACAATGAGGCTGGACTGTATCCAGAGGTCAATGCCACACTAAAGGAAAGACACACTTGAAAGTCTGTCACGTGGCTGGACTGATGATCAAATGTGGGACGTTTTACTGAAAATTCAAATATAGCTCAACACAGTGCACCTTCAAAACAGCTACTTGGAATCTGGGCCAGCAAAAGCATTTATCTAGTATTTAACCTGGGCAGTCTATGAAGACTA